ATTTCAATACTGCAATGATATCACTACTGACTAACGTACGACATTATAGTGGACAGGCTCGTATGGTAATCGTTACGGCCTTGGCTCTCCATAACGTTTTGATTAAATCTCTTGTCGGTATAAGCCAGACGCACAACGGTACAATTCAATAATGCAGATAATTAATTGTGTAAAATGCCGAACCATTGAATAGACAATAGGTTGTTGTAAGGCATTTCGGGAATCGGGTCGTTATGTGGTTAGATTTACTCTAAATTTATTAACTCTTTTGATGTACAGTAATGAGAACCCAACGCGCCTCAGAGCTCTTAAAGAAAGTAAATGAGTACTTTTTAGTCAAGCAGTTGGGCAAGGTCACCGACGCTAAGCCACTGCCGAAACCTATAGAAAACAAGACGTAAATAAATACCCTTGTCCACTCTAAGGCCGTTATTGTAACAAGTTTATCAGATCTTCATTTGATGTTCGTGTTTGAATTTTCTGTTTGTTTCACGTAATAATCTCGGATGAACGCCAAATTTACTTGATACATTACAGAAGCGTACCTTAAGAAATCCTAATTTCGTAAAAACAAGAAATTCTTCGTAGCATCTCCGCTAAATTAAAACGATTCTGGGCCACCCGATAAAGCCGAAACGGGAAGTATTTATTAAAATCCCTTATTGCCTACGTGTCTCGATTGAAATAAACCGTTCGTGTGTTGCGAAAACGGAACAGGAAGCGATACCTCACTCCAATGCCAGACAGAAAACGAACTTGTTTGTTCTCATGTAATGACGATTTTATTCAGGCTTTTTGTGTAGCCCTTTTGACCTTTTGTCATTATTGCTTCTCTTTTTAATTAAATGAACGCTTTATTTGGTTAGGACATCTTGGAAATGCGCCGAAAATTTAGCGCATTTGCCTGGCGATTTCGAAATGTTTCCCAGTACTCAACATTTGTGTTACGTAGTCGAAAGCTGCCAGATCCGTGATCAATATGCGGAGAGCACGAGTACTGGCCGCGAGCCAACCGCTAAAACACGGTAAGCCAGTTTATGTTGATGCTTTACAGCAAATCACGAATATTATTTATTCTTGTATAACCTACGCTGCACCTGATGAAGCCGATTATTATTTGGTGGACATTTCGACAGAAGTAATGCTGTTACATGTCAAGACGGTAGGCACTCGCATTTCTATACCCCTGGCAAGCAAAAGTACCGTAACTTCTTACGCGTAGCCTGTAAGCTTGTTTGCCTTAGATAGCAGTTTAAAATGATATCATGTCATAAAACTGTATTTATTTACTAAAGGCTTAGCGAAGTAAAAGCAAAAGTAAGACGACTATTATTCCAAGGAATTAATGAAGTCAATGACCTTGTAGCATCGACTAACATCTTACGGCATGATGCACATGTACTGGCCAACGGTCATTCAGTATCAGTCCTCATTCAATATTTTATTAAAACGTCCCGTGAACTTGAAACACCCAAGCAGAAAAGTTTTCGTTAGGCGAGGGAAAATGGCTGTAGCTGGGATAATCTGGAACATTACGTAGACATTTTTAATACTGTGCCCGCAATAGCAAAATTTGAATGAAAATTAAAAAATGTAAAAATAAAACGAGCCAAGATGTGACAAATAAAGACAATCTAGGTTACACAATAAACGCTAGAGGACGCGGGAGGAAATTGTCACTTTTAGAATCAACCAATTGACACCAACGTCCTCTGCTCCGCCTCTCCGTTTGTTCACAAAGAGGTTAACTGATAAGTACAGTTTACACAATACCTGTACGAAATTTATCTACAGTGACGCAGATTGCAAGATAGTTCGGATAAATTTCTGACGCAGGTGGCCCGGTACATAAAATGTGTACATCTGTTCTCGTTTCACTCAATTACATGAGAATGCGCACCAGAGGAAGTTAGACGTTCGAATTGAATGACGAGATGCAAATCTGTGGCGTACCGGCGACGACCATTTGTATCGCTCAAAACCCGGTCAAATGTTTAACAAGACAAATTGGACTTAGACGTGGAGTGGGAAAGCACAATTTAGATCTTCATAAGATATGTGTTCTATGAGCAAAACGCACAGAGGATAAAAGACCGTATGTTGAAGGTACTCAGGTCCAGAATATATCGTTTAGATCGGTATAGGTAACTGTGATACGGACGGGCGAGAACGCTCCGACAATTTGCTTATTGCCGAGTTCAATTATCGCCCCCCGCACTCATTACTGAATTAAAGCGAGAACGGCTGTAAATTTCGTGACGCCTCTGCTCTGCTTTTTGTTGTTAAGGTTTGATAAGATTCTTTATGTAGCCGGTTATTATCCGAATTGTTCACTGCGCAATCGTTTGAAAAAGTAACGAAATAGAGAGAAAAACATCTGGTGGTAGGACCAGACACACATCATTACTGGTGGTAGGACCTCTTGTGAGTCCGCGCGGGTAGGTACCACCACCCTGCCTATTTCTGCTGTGAAGCAGTAATGCGTTTCGGTTTGAAGGGCGGGGCAGCCGTTGTAACTATACTTGAGACCTTAGAGCTTATATCTCAAGGTGGGTGGCGCATTTACGTTGTAATTGTTATGGGCTCCAGTAACCACTTGAGCTCGTCCATACATCTAAGCAATAAAAAAAATCTAGGAAGACATAATTTAGCCGCATTAATAAAATTTTATACACAAAGGAACGAAGATAATTCTTAGTAATTATTGCTGTTAAACGCCACAACCACAACAATAGGTCTAACAGCTGTCATTACTTCGGTCACGTGTTTCGAGAGCTTTTCATTTATCGCAGAAAACACGGACTAATACATGATCTCGATACTCCTTATCGCATCACAAGAAATCTGGAAGCCTATCTGTATCGTTAACAGAATGTTTACAGTGAATTTTCAACACAAGTACTCAACGACTAAGTACGAGTGTGTAGGTGATTCATTTTATTATTTAAAAATACAACTAGAGAAGAAGTCTTATCCGAATTTATAATTTATTACCACATTTATGTATTACAACTACATTGAATATATACTAAGATAAAATTACTAGTTATATAGCACACACACACACCTATGTCTACTAACATTAATGACTCCAATGAGTAACATTGATGAGTGAGAGATAAGACAGATATCAATAGGAAAAATTATACTTTATTCTCTTCGAATTTCGATAACGGAACAAAACAGGAAATAAAATTTATTTAAATCGTAACGTGTTCATTGGGCGAACACTGGGCATAATCAACGAATAGGACTCATACTGTACTACTGCATACATGTACCTATAGTTAGACCATGCAATTTTTTTTCGATAAGACCGAAAACCGAAGCCAAATGAAGCCGCAGAACCAGTCGGATAACGAAGTAACCAAAGACCAGATCTTTGTACACATCATATACAGAAGAAGATTTTACTGGTGGTAGGATGTCTTGTGAGTCGCACGGGTAGGTACCATCACCCTGCCTATTTCTACGTTGTAGATGTCTATGAGCTCCGGTAACCAAGTAACACCAGATGGGCCGTGAGCTCGTCCACCCATCTATGCAATAAATAAATAAAAGTGGCCGTACATCTGTATCCCTAATGAACAGCCAGATAGACTTATATCTATTGTATCACTATTATCACGGGCATTAAACAAAAATTTTACCGACCGCAAATAAATACACCGCGACTTTTCTCTGCGCAATATGCTTTAGTTACATGCTTCGTGGAAGAATTTTGATTCTAGCTATTCTGAATTATTCTAAAAGGAAGATAACGAAAGTGTGATAGTATATTGCGGAGTATATAGATTAAATGTGAGCTAAGAATCTCGTAGTTCTCAAGTACCCCGGTTGGATCTAATCTATACTTATTATAATATTATAAAGTTGAAGAGTTTGTTTCTTTGTTTCTTTGAACGCGCTAATCTCAGGAACTACTGGTTCGATTTAAAAAAATCTTTTAGTGTTAGATTGCTCATTTATTAAGGAAGGCTATATAACATCACGCTAAGACCAATACAAACGGAGCACAAATAAAGAATGTTTCAAAATCGGGGTTTTTTTTCCCTTTTGAGAGCTTCCGCTGCGTGCGCTGCGGAAACGGTTAAGGTTTCGCTAAAATAATGTATGACAGAATTGTTCCCATTTAAAAGGTCAAAAAAAAGTCTGCAACAGCATATTTTACGTCTATATGTTAAGGTCGGCCCACTATAACGTTTTTTATGCTAACCAAATTTGTTCTAAAAGAAAGCATTTTTGGTGAAGGTATTTTTATGAAGATGATATTAATCTCTATCCAAATAAATACGTTATTTATTACAAGGATTTAAATTTAAGAAATTTACCCATGCTTGATTTTAATAAGTATCTCGCTATGAGTATTTTAATGAGTATGAGAAGATATCGCAGTTTTAAAATAACATCGCAGTAAAATAATGATCAAGCGCGTAATATTGATATACAAGGCGCAGGCCGGCCGCGGCCGGTGCGCGGTGGCACAGTATAAGAACAATAACAAGAAACACCCAAATCATTTCAAGATAAGCTTTGAAAATTATAGATCTTTGTGGATTTCTCCAGGATCCCATCATCAGGTCTTCATGATTACAGGACAATTCGGGAAGCCTTTCGAACAAAAAACAGAAAAGAGAATTATCAGAATCGGTTCAAGCATTCTCGAGAAATCGGTGAACATACATAGATGAAGAATGGTGGTCGAATTGACAGCCTTCCCTTTTGAAGTGGGTTAAAAAGCGTGATTTTAGTACCTTAAATACCTCCTTAACATCCTGTTATTCAAAAATATTTTCACTTTCTACGTAAATGAAGAGGCGGGTAAAATTTAGCGTTATGCTAAAGTAACTATTCCACGCGGACGAAGTCGCGGACAAAAGCTAGTTGGGAGATAATAAGAAAAGAATGACCAGTTGTTTTCTTACAGGTAAAGGCTCATTCAAAGTTAGATAATCATCTTACAAGAAAACTAATAATATATATTATTTAATGTCACTCACCAGGCATGAAGTGAAGTAACGCGGCGGTGATGGGATAAAGACTTGGGCTGTACGTGATATCTGGACAGGCGTATCCGAGCACGGACACAACTCTGTCGGCTACGGCCCTACCCTTGCGGGTTAGATGGTACCCGAGGCAGTGGGTCGCCTCCACGAAGGGCGGCAACATAATCGGCTTGTCCGGCAGCTCCACTGTGCCGAATACCTGGAAAGAACAATGAAATAAATAAAAAATCAATTTTCATTTAATTTAATTCGTTCAAAAAAAAACTAACACACAATCTTAAGTTATTTGTAATACTAACACACTATGAGACTACGATGTCTTGAAATAAGATTATTATTTTATTTATTTTTAATTTTTATATATGTATATTCGTTGATGCCATGTAGATCGTTAGTGCCGAACTTATGTCGATTTCTCTTTTCTTTTATTTCCTACCTATGCTAGCCTGAGAGGCTATTTCAGCTTCTCCTTGACGTGTAGGTGAGAGCTCACGGGGCTCAAGTCGGAGTGTTGCTAACACTGGCCCTAGCAAGAGCAGTGCTTCGCAGAATCTACCACCGGATCGGAAACGCGACCCACTGAGAAGATCCGGCAAGAAACTCAGTGAGCTGTGTTTATGGGTTAATTTACTCGGCGAGCCCTTCGTCGCAAGCGACGGGTTCGGCGAGGACGGTGACCGGTTTCTCTCTTTGATCTTCTTACTTAGACTCCGTAAAATCTAGTAGATTCTGGGAAAGATGAATCCGAAGATACTGCGAATGAATCTATTTCTAAGAGACCTAAAAGACTAAAACATACATTAAAAAAAACAGAAGGCAAAGTTAGGCAATCCGGGCGCTTAGTAACAGAAATCGACATAATTACTTCAGTGCGCCACTTAGGACAGTGATGACAGGACAAAGAGCTAGAAAATAACGTAACAGTTTTCAGCTTGTAGCGTTTAATTGCATTTGGTGATAGGCTGTTAAGTGAATTAAGCAGAGCCGGTAGGTTTCGCGACGTAACGTGACGGACGCTACCTTGAGAAACAACATCTATGTCTGAATTGTAGCGAAACGGCTGTTGCACCCTACAAGCCGCCATGTATTTCAGCAGAAACAGGGTGACATACCCACACGTGCGGGCTCACAATACACTATACTACCAGTTTTTGACTAGCTGAGTGGTGCAGCAATTAGCGCCCCTGACTGTTGCGCCGAGGGTCGTGGGTTCGATTCCCACATCGGGCAAACATATGTATGATGGGCAGGTTTCTTTGCTCTTTGTCTGGGTGTTTATTATCCATAAACATATATAAGTATGTATGTCAGTCTCTGGTACTCCATAATGCAAGGAATCCTAAATTGGGGCCGTGGATGACCGTGCGTGATTCGTTCCCAATTATTATTATTATTATTATATATATTTTTAATTTGTACACTATTTCTTTTAACTTTATTATACACAGCATAAAGACGCAGTTAAGTTTTTTTTTTATTGCCCTTGTAGACAGAGGGGTACACGACCCACCTGATGGTGAGTAGTTACGGGGGTCCCTATGGACGTCAGCAATGCCAGGGCAGAGTGAATCTGATGTCTACCGTACCGACAGGTATAACACAGGGATTCCTAATTTAGGGCCGGATGACCGTGCGTGATTTGTTTCCAGTTATTACTTCATTTTATTAAACATTCAACTATGTAGCCCGTTTGTTCTTGTTTGGAATTAATTATATCATAGTTAATTTTGCCAAGGACAAATCAAATTATAAGGATTTTTTAGGTACGTTTACCAAATGTACACTACGGTGTAAGAAGTATCATAACCTAGCCCCATTAATAGTATATTATTGAGCTTTGATTAATTCAATAATCTACCCAACAAAACGATTTCTTGTTACTTCATACAAACTGTTTGTCTTTAAAGTTAATCTATGAACTGACAACTGTAAATTCAAGGAACGGTAAAAACTTAACAGCCTATACGTTGAAACTACGAGTATTTTAATTCGCCATTGTTGAAATACATAGTTTCTACCGTAACATACACATGTGTTAATATCAATGTGGTCAAGACAATAGTTAGTGAACCAAACCAGCATTACTATAATAACCGGCAAACTTCTTGAGCATTTGTTGACGTAGTGGGGGTAAGTTTGCGCATGGTACACTCACGTGCAAAAACATTACTTACTCTGCGTCATAATGCTATTAAATTATTAAAATCAACATATGTATTTATTTATATATTTATTAGAACATCAAAAAAACATATAGGTTAATAATTGTAATAATTTAATCTTGGGGTAAAATAGATATTCCTTCTATTAAGTCAAAACTAGAGCTGTTGCCAGGTCTTGGTTCAGTTAAAGCGAAGCTGGTATTTGTAATTTTTTTTTTCGTTATCATAATCTTGACCATCATCATCATCACTGTTTTCATCACCCGAGTCGCTATCATCGTGATGAGTCGACATAGGGCTCATCGGCGTAGTTTACAACTCGGTCGATTCGGTCTTCTTTTTTGTCTATAATTAATTATTTTTTGAAGATATTCGATTCGTAGTAATCGAATGTTACTTTTTTCATTTACCAGCTTCCGATTATTTTCTGTTCTTTTTTTCCATCTGAAGCCTAGCTCTTTCATAATTCGTCGTAAGCTTCATTCCGAGCCATTAAAATTTATATCTTCTTTAAATTTTTCGAAGCCTTTCTACGGTACGGAGTTTCGCTGCTTGTTATGTAGTTATTATGATTACATCTTTTTATTACAGATTGAACGAAACTATCCATTCCGGTAACTTTCTTCTTCCCTGATCTTTTCTTACCCGGAGTCCGAAACACGGCGAGCAAGCCAGAGCCTTTAGCTTCGTTAATAATGCACCTAACAGTACTCACTGATGTTTTTGTTGCTTCCGAAGTCTGTTTTAATTTTTCCATATCATTCTTCCCCTGTTTTATAATGAAGCAATATACGTCGTACACAAATTTTCTACCCTTTCTTTTAAGTACTACACCAGTTTGTCACGGCATAGTGTATGTTTTATAAAAAATCAACAAACACTCAACAAATAAATAGCAATGGCAACAAAGTCCACAAGCAATTATAACAAATAACTTAACGATTAATAACGATAGACTTTCCACTGTACGCAAGCGTACTTTTGGGAGCAAGCGGAATGAGGGCGCGGTGCGGGACGCAAGGTTCGACTGATCTACCAATAACGCGCTCGATACGATTTCCCCTGCCGTCGCGCCTCACCCTCGCCACCAAAGTAACCTAAAATTCGGTTCTGCGCAGTCAAGGTCATTTGCTCAAGAAGTTTGCCGATTACTATACTATTAATATTATCAATTATTTCCGAATTCCGAAAAATAAACGAATAAATTGTTTTTTTTTATTGCTTACGTGGGTGGACGAGCTCACGTCCCACCTGGTGTTAAGTGGTTACCGGAGCCCATAGACATCTACGACGTAAATACGCCACCCACCTTGAGATATAAGTTCTAAGGTCTTAAATATACCTAGTCAGGTCATAAGTATTGTCACACAGTAAAAACTTTTCTTTTAGAATGCTGGCCACAAAAAAGTTTATTGAATTCGAATTTCGAATTGTTCATGAAAATAAAAATAGTATACATTTAGAATTTTACTCATTTTTAAATATGGAGTGGACGCTTAAAGAAGACCGTGTTGCAGTTATTGCGTTGCATCGTTGCGGTTACGCGCCAATTCAAATTTTTAACATACTGAAAAATTTGAATATAACCAAAAGATTCGTTTATCGTACCATCAAACGATACAATGAAGACTCTAGTGTAGATGACAGGTCAAGAAGTGGTCGCCCTCGGTCTGTTAGGACTCCAGCAGTGATAAAAGCTGTGAAGGCGCGAATTCAAAGAAATCCCAAACGTAAGCAGAAACTGTTGGCCCTTCAGATGGGGTTAAGCAGAACCACGGTGAAAAGGGTGTTAAATGAAGACTTAGGGCTTCGGGCATATCGAAGAAAAACAGGACATCGTTTGAATGCTCGTCTAATGGACCTGAGACTGAAGAGATGCCGCGCTTTGTTGAAGCGGTACGCGGGAAAAAAATATCGGGAAATTCTTTTTTCGGATGAAAAAATTTTTACCGTAGAAGAGAGCTACAACAAACAAAATGATAAGGTGTACGCACACAGTAGTGAAGAAGCGAGCAACCGTATTCCGCGTGTCCAACGAGGTCATTTTCCATCCTCGCTCATGGTATGGTTGGGAGTTTCTTATTGGGGCTTAACAGAGGTACATTTTTGTGAGAAAGGTGTAAAAACGAATGCAGTTGTGTATCAAAATACAGTCCTGACGAACCTTGTGGAACCTGTTTCTCATACCATGTTCAATAACAGGCACTGGGTATTCCAACAAGATTCGGCGCCAGCTCATAGAGCGAAGAGCACACAAGACTGGCTGGCGGCGCGTGAAATCGACTTCATCCGGCACGAAGACTGGCCCTCCTCCAGTCCAGATTTGAATCCGTTAGATTACAAGATATGGCAACACTTGGAGGAAAAGGCGTGCTCAAAGCCTCATCCCAATTTGGAGTCACTCAAGACATCCTTGATTAAGGCAGCCGCCGATATTGACATGGACCTCGTTCGTGCTGCGATAGACGACTGGCCGCGCAGATTGAAGGCCTGTATTCAAAATCACGGAGGTCATTTTGAATAAACTTTAGTGTCATAAGAATCTATGTTTTGTTAAGTTCATTTTGGTATATGAATGGTTACATAATGAATAAACTTGTTTGAATTATTTTACATTAAACATGTGACAGAATTTATGACCTGACTATGTAGTTACAACGGTTGCCCCACCCTTCAAACTGAAACACATTACTGCTTCACGGCAGAAATAGGCAGGAGATGGTGGTACCTACCCGTGCGGACCCACAAGACGTCCTACCACCAGTAATTACGCAAATTCAAAATTTTCGGTTTGATTTTTATTACACGATTTTATTCATTCACAGTGGAAGTCAATGGTGAACATTTGTTAAGTACGTATTTCATTAGAAAAATTGGTACCCGGCTGCGGGATTCGAACACCGTTGCATCGCTAGATACGAATGCACCGGACGTCTTATCCGTTAGGCCACGACGACTTCATGATGAAACGTAGCCTATATTATTTCCCAGGGTTTTAAATTATTTCCATATCGAATTTCGTCCAAACTGTTTAAGT